GCACCATTTAAGGTGGAACGGGAAAATTCAAACAGGAAGCTGGTGAATATCTGACTTCAGCTTCATATCAGTGAAGAATTAGGGGTGGGTGATAATAAATAATTGCCCCCCTCTTTGAAGGCATATGATGCCCTAAATGTAACTAAAGCCCAGCAGTGAGGAGCTGAACTTTACCCTCCTCTGCTGTCACTGCAGACTGGCAGGGTCGCCTACAGAGCAGCGCTGGTAGCTGTTAATGAAGTGATGCTCTTTTTATTTGAGGGTCCCATTTCAGAGGGAGGATTTCAACCACTACCCTGTAACTCAGTTCCAAGGGGCAAGGAGACACTCGAAAACAAGGGGTAGGGGTAAAAATAAGAAATGGGACTGGGCCTAAGTGTTAGAACTTCTCCATCCTCTCTACGCTGGGAGAACGAGATCCCGCTGGCTGATTAAAGAAGGGATTATAACAGCAGATACATCTATACAGCATCACTTTTTATGCACATATGCACATTGGGCCTCATTCTCCAATATCTTCCTAGGTTTCCTCTTGAATGTGTTCTTGAGAAAGATCCCAAGTCTCCGTCAGATTCATGTCATGTTCTTAAAGTGCAGAACTGTTCTCACCTTTGTGTCTTGAGTGAGTGCAGATTCTGTTCTTACCCAAGAACAAATCCCACATAAGAAAACACTGGTGAACGTCAGAGTCTTGGTGAAACCTGCGTAAGCTGGATTTAAGAGCGAATTTCTTCTTAAAATGATTGGAGAACGAGGCCCAATTTCTGAACTTTTAGTTTTCTAGAAATTATAACAATGCAAGTGTTTGGAAAACCCGCTTGTACTGTGGTAATAATTTATTTCTAGATGCAAGAGTTATCAAAATATTACTACCAACATCCCCCTGATAAACTAACCCAATCTGAATAAGAGCTTTAGATCCAGAACACCTTTATCTTCAATAGTATCAGTTAAAATGTTATGGAGTACTAACAGCTCTAATCCTAAACTAACTATAACCACTTAAAAGCACTATGTCTATAAAATGCATTGTGAAGACGATCCTCATGAGCAATACAAGTACACGTACACACACACACACACACACACACACAGGAAGTTATAGATTCGGAAGCACTCTGCGGCATCAATTAAAAGCATTGTAGCTTAAGCAACGGTATTGACCTGCAGTAAATCAGGGCTCGTCTACACTGGGCTGGTAAACGTTCGTGTGGTAATGTAGTCCACAAATTTCCACTGGGATGGACACCCATGCCCACCCTGGCAAACTGCTCTACCCTGCTAGTGAGGGAGATTGATTAAAAACTTTGCGAGGTAAACACGGAACCATTTTTTTGGATTCAGCAAAGTTTTAAATCAAAAATTAAACATTTAACATTTTTAAACTATAAAATCTTGCTTTGTTCGGAGGAACTTTGGGTTTCCAAAAATCTCCTGTGAATCTTTATTTAACCATTAGGGATGCGAATCGGCTAAGATCGGAATGGCAGACTTTTGCTCTAAACACAAAATCTGCAAACGGCAAATGTATTGTTTTTATTTTTGGCAGATGTCTCAGTTTTATAAGGGCAATAAGGTGAGTAAGGAAAGTGCACTCACGCTGTGAGTGAATGCTGCTGCTACACATGAACAAAAACGTCAAAAAATTAATTAAAAAATATATAAAAGCCAGTTTGGCTGACTAAAAAGCTAATAATCTTTATAAGCAAATATAAGCAAATGATACAAAAGTGCTGCAAATTTGTTAACGTGGTTCATTTACTCCAAACGGTGTGAGCTTCGAGTAAAAAAAAAAAAAAGGGAAATTGAACGACCATCTGCATCCGTCTACCATTTGGCTGTGAAAATGTATGAGTGGTGCATCCTTACCATTTGAACTACGACAAGCTGAACTATGAATATTACTACAAGCAAGCTGACACTACTGTGCACTGAAATGATGCATGGCAACACGTTTAATACCATAATTCACCTCTACATCATCATCTAACACCAGCTGCTCAAACTAGACCGCAAAGCAACTTGAATAGTACATTTAACAAAGCTCACACGTTTATGTGGGGTGTTTTAGTGATGCTACTAGTTCTGTGGTGTCAGTTTGAGGTGCAGCAGAATTAGCTCGCATGTAGCAACATTTGTATTTCAATTTGTTAACAACCTCATTTTTCTGACGATCCAGTGATGTTCAGCAGAAAAATGTGCGCAAGACAAAACGTGCCAGGTTCAGAACATTTTTATCACATGGTGCGCAAAGTGCTTTTTGTCTCTCCCCAGAAATGCTTTTCTACTATTGAAATATTTTATTAAAAACAGAAAAAAATCTATTTAAAAAAAAAGATTATATATATATATATATATATATATATATATATATATATTTTTTTTTCCTTTTTTAAGTCACATTAAGAGATGTTAATGCTTTCATGCAGCGGCACAAGCATTCCGCCATTTCGACTCTACTCTCTTGGTGAAGCAGATGAACTAGAGTGCTTGTAAAGAAACACTATGCACATTCTTTTGTCCGATGGCTTTTTATGCATGTCTTGATAAACGTGTATGTCATCATTACTCTTGGTTTAATGTGTAGAGAGGCAGACTCACGCTGCAGTTCTCTGGGGGGACCAGAAGCTGGGTGATCTCTCCTCCGTGCACACAGAAGATGTGCTTCATCTCTCCGGTGAAAATGTCCCACACGATGACGGAGAAATCCACCCCACCGGACACCAGGGAGCGCTGGTCATAGCGAGGGGAAACCTGGTGAGGGTACAGCAGACACGTCACCTTATTCCTGTGACCCCTGAGAGTTCGGTGAGGAGGCCAGCCTGAAAAAAGGAGAGAGAGAGACTGTAAATACAGTATTTCTCACCAGAACACTGAATTTCTCACATGTAGTTAGGGCTGTTTTGCAAACAACGTAACTGAGATGGTAGTGAGAACTTATATAGGGTGCATTTAGTCAACAGCTTTATAGATTTTCTCCATAATTCAGTGATTGAGACGTTAACCAGGTCATTCAGAGTGGTTTGTTGTGAAACGGTTCATAGAGACCCAAATTTCTTTACAGTGGTGGTGATCGGAACCAGGAGTCTCCAAGGTTTCTTTCAGGACTACTTTAAATCCTTAATTTCATCAACATCAAGCATGTTTTTTTTTTGTGTCGCTCCAAAAGTTGCTGCGTCTCGAAGCAACAATGCTTGATTATTTCCAGTACCGCAGTCTGTTTTCGCACATGCTCAGACTGAGAAGTCTGAAAGAAATTAGAGTAAGAGTTCACATGCACTGAGAAATCTGATCACTGAGCTAAAATCCAGTCTCTTTATCAGATTTCTTAATTGGATTTCTTGACCTTACTCCAATCTAAGACATCAGAGCGCGCTGTTTACATGTCCTGTGAATAATCAGATAACTGCAGAAATCAGATTATGATCGGATTATTGAGTGCATGTAACCGCAGTCATTGAGTTTTCTTTATTGCTGATGTACAAGGTAAAACATCAAAAGTATTGTCTGTGGTAATTAATAGCCTGACACAAATGCAGCAGACAGAGTTTGGGCTGCGAAACACTGGAATGCTCCTTTAATATTATTCCAACACATTCCCAGTGTTTCCCTCCGGATCACCTCTTCTCAGCATGTGCTCCCCCTGCAGCAGCTGGACGATGGCGGTCTGCGTGGCCGGCACCAGAATGATGCTGCCGTCCTCCCTTCCACACACCAGGCGGCCCTGTGAGGGGATGTACACACTCGCCGTGACCTTGATGGGCTCCTCCGACCCCGGCAGGACACTCAGCTGGTCGATGATGCCGGCGGGCAGCGGGGTCAGCTTATCAAACGCCTCCTGCAGGCTGATAGTGGAGGAGACCTGCAGCTCTGTGGGAGAAAAGAGAGAGAGTTGGTATATACACACACACACACACACACACACACACACACACACACACACACACACACACACACACACACACACACCGCTATAAATACATACAGGTGTAAGTTTGGACACCGTTGGTCCAATGAAATTGTTTTGTTGATTTTCAAAGAGAAAATAAGTTCACATCCTCTACAGAGAGCATACTCCAGCATAATTTAATATACAATTACTGTTTATTTGCTGAATTTAACATAAGAAAAAAATAAAACCTAAAATGTGCCCTGTGCAAAAGTTATAGCATATTTTAGATTTTATTTAAAAATTAAACTCAGCAAATAAATAGAAACTGTGTTGTACAATTCGCAGAACAATCTCATATTTAAGTATATTCTATGTAGTGGGTGTGTTCACTTAGTTCCACTTCAGCAAATCAACAAAATATGTAATTTGATCGGGATCGTTCAAACTTTTGCATACACCAATCAGGCATAACATTCTGACCACCTCCTTGTTTCTACACTCATTGTCCATTTTATCAGCTCCACTTACTATATAGGTGCACTTTGTAGTTCTACAGTTACAGACTATAGTCCATCTGTTTCTCTGATACTTTGTTACCCTGTTCTTCAGTGGTCAGGACCCCCATGGACGCCTCACAGAGCAGGTACTATTTGGGTGGTGGATCATTCTCAGCACTGCAGTAACACTGACGTGGTGGTGGTGTGTTAGTGTGTGTCGTGCTGGTCTCAGTGGATCAGACACAGCGGTGCTGCTGGAGCTTTTAAACACTGTGTCCACTCACTGTCCACTCTATTAGACACTCCTACCTTGTCAGTCCACCTTGTAGATGTAAAGTCAGAGACGATAGCTCATCTGCTGCTGCACAGTTTCTGTTGGTCATCCTCTAGTCCTTCATCGGTGGTCACAGGACACTGCCCACAGGACGCTGTTGGCTGGATATTTTTGGTTGGTGGACTATTCTCAGTCCAGCAGCGACACTGAGGTGTGTAAAAAGGGGGCTAACAGTATGCAGAGAAACAGATGGACTACAGTCTGTAACTGTAGAACTACAAAGTGCACCTATATAGTAAGTGGAGTTGATAAAATGGACAATGAGCGTAGAAACAAGGAGGTGGTCATAATGTTATGCCTGATCGGTGTATATACTAATGCTCAAAAGCTCAGAATCATTGTTCAAACATAATTTGTATTGCAGGTAGACGTGCAAAATTAACCAAATATGAGGCCACTAGCCTACAATGCTTCAAATAATTTATAGGACAAGTAAAAAAAAAAATATGGAGAAATGCTGGATGATTAACGGAGCTGAACAGAGCTATAATTATAATAGCTAATATGCAGAATGCCTCGTACTGGAAAAGGTGATTATCACATCCTGAGGCAAATAACTTATCAATTCAGTCATTTGTTGGTAACTACTTTACATTAGCATCTTTAATTTACAGCTCACAAAAAGTAAGAAGTCTAAAAACATCCTAAGTACTGAGTTTATAATATTTCCATCTACACTCTTCAAGGCAGTACTGAATATGGTAATTATTAAAATGGCAACTGACTAAGCTTTTAAATGGTTTACTGTACATATGAGCACAGTGGGATCATTCTCAAAGAAAGCTGTCTCAGTGCTGGTGGTCTTATAGTAGCACCGTAAGCAACCACTAGACGGATTAGGGGAACAGAGCTTTCAGCTGAAGTACTCAAATGGAACAGCAGAGGGAGACACTGCGCTACAAACACCAGACAGTGCAACTTGCTATTGTCTTAAAGGGGAATTCTACTGATTTTCCCAAATTCCTGCATAATTCAATTGTTGAGATGTAAACAAGATCTCTGGTGAAAAGGTGCAACACTCACTCAGCCCTCAGCAAAATAATTTTGCTGGTTATTTGGTTAAAAACGTGACGTTACTTGCAAGACCTTCATCATATGAGATGTAATCAGAGTGATTCAGAGTGGTTTGGAGTGAAATGGTTCAGATGTCTTTACAGTGGTGGTGATAGGAACCAGGGGTCGCCATGACTACAACACAAATATAGCCATTTTATTTACTATCCAGAACCACCAGTGAACCTACACGAGTCTTCTGAGTTTATATGAAATGTGTATGATGGTAAAATAGTGATAAATCTGAAAAATAAGTTTTGTTTTACATCTTAACGACTTAAAATGCAGAAAATTTTAAAAATCAGTGAAACCGCCCTTTCACAGAAGATGTGCAATAATACTTATAACCAAGTGGGATCTACCTTAGGAACTAGAGCCATGAACAAAGGCCTAGTGATTATAGGACTGTATTTTAGGACCAATAATAATAATAATAATAATAATAATAATATATACTATAATAGCACCACTGTATTCTTATATATTCTGTGACAGATTGCCTGCAACACTCTTGTTTGTGCCTTTCCTGAGAGAAAGTAAAAGGCAATAAAAGAACAGAAAACCACAGAGAGGGAGGCAGAATCAAACAGAGGCAAGTCCAGCAGAGTTGAGTGGAGCTGCTGACCTGCAGCAGAAGACAGCGGCTGCAGCGGCGAAGTGTCCGGGATGCTCCAGAGGGTCAACCTGCCCGCCGAATCGCCCTGAACCAGCAGCTTGTGGAAGGGCTCCCTGCGTCCGTAGAAGAACCTCGTCACCGGCGGACAGATCAGCAACTGCAAACACATCAGCCCAGACAAAGTCACTCACACAGCAGCCCACAGCTTCCAAACAGACGACAGAGTCACGATCTTTCACAGCACAGCAAGCAGCACTCTCTTTTTTTGTGAAATTATGCAAGCCATTATGCATATAGTCGGATTTTAATCTATATTTTAACAAATTAAAATAAAAATCCTTGAGAGGGAGATGAGGGAATGGAAGCAGGGCAGCATAACCTAAACTGAACCGTCCTGCACCGAAAAGCCTTCTCACTATGCCATTACAGCCAGACCTGTATTATGAACTGGTCTCAAATAGTTATGACTGGGTTCTAACAGTAGCTGAGGAGAAGTGGGCAGATAAGCGGTCATTCTGAGCTCATGCAGGTTCATACATGGCCACTGATTCAGTTACTATTCATGACATAAACAAGGATAATGGCAAACTTCTTGAGGATTGTATTAGGAAAGATTTTCGTGGCTATTCAGACACATTGGGGTTTAATGTAATCACTACTTCAGCTACTAAACAATGGGGAAAACCGGGTCCTCGTCAGTGAAGCTGTCGCCAGCTTCAGTTTGGAAGTGGGTCAGCCCAGCGTTACACAAACCAGTGTTGCCAGATTGGGTGAATTCTGGTTGGATTTGGTGGAGGAAAAAGTAAACAAAGTTTAGGCTGGTTTGTCTTTATTTTGGTTTTTAAAAAGTATAAAGCAGCTAATCTACACCGATCAGGCATAACATTATGACCACCTCCTTGTTTCTACACTCACTGTCCATTTTATCAGCTCCACTTACTATATAGGTGCACTTTGTAGTTCTACAGTTACAGACTGTAGTCCATCTGTTTCTCTGATACTTTGTTAGCCCCCTTTTACCCTGTTCTTCAGTGGTCAGGACCCCCATGGACCCTCACAGAGCAGGTACTATTTGGGTGGTGGATCATTCTCAGCACTGCAGTAACACTGACGTGGTGGTGGTGTGTTAGTGTGTGTTGCGCTGGTGTGAGTGGATCAGACACAGCAGTGCAGCTGGAGTTTTTAAACACCTCAGTGTCACTGCTGGACTGAGAATAGTCCACCAACCAAAAATATCCAGCCAACAGCGTCCTGTGACCACTGATGAAGGACTAGAGGATGACCAACACAAACTGTGCAGCAGCAGATGAGCTGTCGTCTCTGACTTTACATCTACAAGGTGGACTGACAAGATAGGAGTGTCTAATAGAGTGGACAGTGAGTGGACACAGTGTTTAAAAACTCCAGCAGCACCGCTGTGTCTGATCCACTCAGACCAGCACAACACACACTAACACACCACCACCGTGTCAGTGTTACTGCAGTGCTGAGAATGATCCACCACCCAAATAGTACCTGCTCTGTGAGGGTCCATGGGGGTCCTGACCACTGACGAACAGGGTAAAAGGGGGCTAACAAAGTATGCAGAGAAACAGATGGACTACAGTCTGTAACTGTAGAACTACAAAGTGCACCTATATAGTAAGTGGAGCTGATAAAATGGACAATGAGCGTAGAAACGAGGAGGCGGTCATAATGTTATGCCTGATCAGTGTACTTAGTTTATTACTGATGTAATGATGGTCCCAACATGGCCTAGAGCCTGTCCAGTTCATTACTGAGTGTACAGAGTTCTGCAATAATAAGAAATTAGAATGGCCCATCAGCATAGCCTACATCGCCTCATGTGCCTTTCTGACTGCATGGGATTGTGGGTCCCATCATCTTATCTTATTAAGCACATCCTATATTTCATGCTTTGTTGTTTTCCAATATGTTAAACGCAGCAAATTAATAGAAATGGTGCACTAAATTTTGCCAAAATGTGTCATATTTAAGTGTGTTCCCTGTAAAGCCTTGGGTTCACTACACGACTTTTAAGGTCTTAACAGATTATAAAAGGACTGGGCGACCGGAGCTCACTGAACTCACGCAAACTCACGAAAACTCATGCAAACTCACGCGTTCTCACGTTACTGAGAGACGCAGATAAACAAACGTCAAACTGCTCACTGCTGCTGTTTTCTCTGCCGTTTGCACTGAGACAGTAAAGAAGCAGCAGGCAAAGGTGTAAGTGAGGCTCATGGATTTAAAAATGTGAGCAGTGAGATATTTTCTTAGTTTTAATCATAAAATCGATAAACTCAGCTCATTAAAAAGCTTCGCTTCACACGGGAGTGACTTTTTGCCATTTTTCTTTTTGCTGTATTTTCTTTCGTGCTCTCAGTTTTCATTGGCTGTTGTGGGAGTCTTTTCAGACAGAGTTGTTGACCAGTTTAGTCTATATTTCGCAAAGAGTGGGTTGAAAAAAACTCCGACTGGTCTGAAACGCGACCGGGAGCCCAAAATTATGAGTGTGCGCCCCTCAAACACGACTCGACTCTCCAACTGTGACTCCGACTGAGCCAAAAATCCGCAGACTAGAGCCGACCAGCTCAGACTCGGCCAGGCTGAGAATCAGGGCTAAAATCGGGGTAGAAGTCGTGCAGTGTAACCCCGGCTTAAAGGATGTGTTAACTTCTTTTCACTCAACAAAACGTGAAAATCAACTAAATGTGCCATTTAAACGAGGGTGTTAAATGTTTTATGTTCTATGTTGACTCGATCCCTCACCATTCCATCAAACTTCACCTCAGCTAAAGTAATAAAGTAATGCAACAGCCCTTATGAAGGAGAAATGGCAAAGCCAAGCTGACGAGAGCATTTTATAAAAACATTAAAACTACAATGACTCACAGGAAAAAGATAAGCCTGTAAGAACAACCTGGCCTGTTTGACACATTGAGTGTAATGTCAGTGTCTTGGTTACAGTATAATGTATGCCCATGTATGATATGGTTTGGTATGACGGTGAATGTGTCCACTTGAACAGAGCTCAAACGAGAAGTGTGCGCAGAATATCACGGCATGGAGGATCCTCAAGGCATTCTGGGTAGCCTTGAGTACAGTGCAAAGTTCCACCAATGAGTTTTCATCTGGTGCTGATCTCCCATCACACACATACACACACAACCCCCAAACAAAAATCATAGATAAACACAAATTAAATCAAATAAACACAAAAAAAAACAACAAAAACACACAAAACAGCACAGCAACCACAAATAAAGAGGTGAAAACTCCCACTCGAGGTGCACGAGAGCCCATCTCCATCCCCAACACTGAACTCTCACTGACATCAGCTACTTCATTATATACTCTGAACGTTTATATCTACACTAGTGAATAGTCTCCACTCTACTTCTTCATAAAGGAGAAGTTCTGGTGTCCATGCATTACTGATCATTTGAAGCGATATTACAAAAAATATTTAAAAATTTCTGTGTAATAAAATCGTTAAGATGTAAACAGCCATTCGGAGTGGTTTGGTGTGAAATACTACATTCTAGCAGTAACACGTTATGTACGGCGTAGCTGTGGCTGACAACAGCTGGAAAATAAAGCACCATGACTTGTGTGAAAGCTGTGTCCCTTTTAATAGCGAACGCTGCTGTATTACACAAAGTAGTTGCAGATTTGCTGTCTAGCGCCTGAGACTTTTTTTCCCCCCCAATGCATTAATGGAGGGCCAAATAGTACCAAAGAAACTTTTTTCCCCTGATTTAGCACCATTTTACCATCATCATCATCATCACATATAAAACTCAGAAGATGCACAGAGATAAAAATGGGCATATTTGTGTGACCCCTGTTTCCCCAAAACATACTTCACGCAAGGATGGGAACGCAGATGCTTTGAGCTATGTGGACAGGGTTTCGTACGTAGTTGCATTTAAGAACACACAGAATTTCATAACGCAACGCAAGTGTGAGCTGCATTCTGAGCATCTGAGCAGCAAGGGGCGCTATAACAACAGCCAAGCCTGACCAAGCGGTCAAGTACCACCAGTGTGCTTAGCCTATCACCATCACTTCTCTACAAAGAATCATATCACACCAAACCACTCTGAATGGCTGTTTACACACCAACGATGGAACTCCGTCAATATATTTGACATTTTCTGAAGGACCACTTCAAAGAAAATGAAAATTCTAACACTGCTAATAGTGAATGAAGCCTTATCCAAATTAGATTAGTCAGTTAGCGCTGAAATGCATTATCCTGAGTAGCTGACTAGCTTTCTAGCTGTGTGGGACGCTGAGCAGTTTCTATAAAGCAGCTTGGGGACTTTGCATGCATCTTCACCCATGTGAAGACAGATGAGGAGGGGGTCAATGGTGGGTCGTTTTTAGTGGGAGGAGCATGGGACCGAGCGAATCAGTGTGAGTGGAGGAAACTGGCTATCAGACAGACAGCAGCGAAGAAGCAGGTACACGACAGGGAGCTCTCAGAGCATCCGATCATATTCACTGCTGAAAAGGTGAAGAAGTCAATCACAAATGTCTCAGAAACGCTTGAAAATAAGAGGGAGGTTGTGCAAACTTGGCGTTCCTAATATTTTGCATTCTAAAATCGGCGAATCAAGGATAAATTTTGCAGTTTGGATGAAAAGAGAACAAATTAGTTTAAAAACATGGTCAGTCTAATATCCTTTTAAAATTGTGTCATAATTTTCCCTGTCAGCAAGCGAATGACTGACCGGATGCCTAAAAGGTCACAAAAGGCTGAGAGCTCCCCCTGCTGACCACGTCAGGTGGTGCAGCTGCGTCCTGCCGTCTGATGGGCTTACTGGTGCCTCTAGAGGCCGCTGGGTGTATAGCAGCTCGGGAGTGTAGAGCTCTGGACCAGTCGCACTGTCAGGGAGGGACACCACAACAAACTGCCCCTCACATCCCTCCTCCGGCTGGGGGATGGGAGGAGGGAGGGAAGTGCCCCAGCGTGAAGGGAGGGTGGGAGGGTAACAACAGACAAACAGTAAATAATAAGAATATACAATACAGACAACATAAAGCACATTAGCATTCACAAATACAGGAGCTGGTCACTGGCGGGGGGGACACAAACCACAAAAACCAACACAAATTGTATTGAAGACGAAGCTCAGACACTGATCATAAAAAAAAATAATAAACAAATAAATTCTCACTTTAACATAGATTTTTCCTTAACCCTCTGGGGTCCACGAAATTGCCTGCGTGTCAAATTCAATGTTTCTATATCCGTTTCTGTATCTTTGTGATGATCCAGCTCAGAAATCCAGTTCAAACACTTCCTGAATCTGTAGAGTCGCCCTTTCCATTCCATCTTATCCCGAGATCATACGAGACTCACATCCGGAGTTATGAGCCTGTGAAGAGGGGCTGAGATACACGTCATCTGCTTCTCACTGTGTGGAACTGGTGGATTGGTGTGTCCATCTATATTGTGTGAAACTGACCCATAAACACTCAGGAAATCACTAAGGACTGACCATCACGCCGAAAACCCTTCATTCTTCATTCAGTCCACGTCGGAGACTCATGTGAAATGGCGTGCAGAGAGTTTACAGCTGCTGAAGTTGCTGCAGCGGTTTTGGAAAGTAGTGATGAAGATAACGGAGCATTTAGATATGAAACATATGAGGATCATGTTATATGAAGAGCCTTTAAAGGAGAGTTTAAGGAGATATACACAAATTGAGAAAATGACCTCAGACCCCAGAGGGTTAACAAATGACAGTGTCCAAACATTTACCAATTTAAAAATAAGACTAATAACTACTGTGTATGTGTATAAAGCTATAAGACCACTGACTAAGTCATTATGAATAGGCAAATCTTCATGTCCCACCAGCACCATAGCTTCTTTAGACCACAGTAGACTTTTAACCTTAAGGAGTGAGTTTTTGGAAAATATCTGGTTCTAAAACTTCCACATTGGTTCTAGAATGTAACAGAATTACTATCCCACTGTTACATCACAATTTCCAGATATCACAAATTCTAGGAAAAACCTCCTATTCTCAGGAACGGGGTGGGCGTTATGGCAAAAATACTACACTCATCACAACACACCATATCAATTATGACATTTTGATTTTTTGAACAGACAAAAGAAAGTATAACGATTTTTATTCCATGTTTCCCATACTGCACAAAACTAAATTTAATTAACCAGGCCTAATTATGCTTTCCTAGGACTCCCCCAATCACGATACCACCAGCACTAGGAGGGCGAAGGCTAACACAGGCTCTCTCCATGACCAGTGAAGCACCACCGCATCTTTTCGAACTGTCGCTCACACCAAACGTCACTGGACATAAATTATCACAATAACAGCAAATATTGTCATACTGCCCACCCCTACTCAGGAGGTACTGAAAAGCCTGAGTTGGCTAGTTCGAGAAAGTGAACCAGGCCCCAGATTCAACGGCCTGTATTCACTGCCCTGTATCAACATTATCCTCTTAAGCTCCCCTCAGCGGGGTGCCTAGCCTGTAACCGCTTTAGGAAGCTCTGACTACGTTCTATTTAGAGCACAGGTGCACAACTCGGGTCCTGGAGGCCCGGTGTCCAGCACAGTTCGGTCATTTTACCGCTCAAACACACAGGATTCAAATCGCCTGTAGACCGCCAGGTTTAGTTGGAGTGATTGAGTAGGGAAACTACCAGACTGCAGTGGACACCAGCGCTCCACGATCAGAGATACGCACCCTGCTTTAGAGGCCACAGTTATAGAGAAGGTACGTCTGTGCGGGTGTGTGACTGCGGGTGCGTCTGACCTGTTTGTCAGCTCGGTCTGCGATGCTGTACACCAGAGGAGGGATGGAACCTTCGGCCGTTTTCCCTACGTCGCTGCGGAAGTGCTCACTGGCTGGAAGACAGCTAAAACAAACACGCAGACATGATGAGAGACTGTGTGACAGAAAACACTGCAACTAACATATTCACACTCTTAACCTCATCACGGTTAGAGAAAAACCTTCAACCATATTTATTATCCTAATATTTTTTTCTACCCACCCAGAAAGAGCGAGGATGGTTGTGCGGACTGAACTCACAATTTCCTGACAATAGGGTCAGCGCTTAAATGGCCATGCCACTCAAAAGCCCTTTTTTTTTTTTTTTACACTGTTATTAAATGCCCTTTACATTATGTGTAAATTCCATGATCAAATGTCCAGAATCAGCCCAGATCCACATGGAATATAATCTCTTAATATAAATTAAAAGTAAATAATGTTTTTCCTTTTCATTTAAAGTTACTGTTTTGGATATGTTGGATAAAATATTACAAAACCTATACCTAAAGCTTGAAGGGGCAGGGCTAAACTGCTGTAGGCTGAGAAGGCAGATATGTAAATGCACTGCTTTTTGTGACATCACATAAACAATGAATTTAACACAGGCTTTCCCGGCTTAGTTTCCATGTATGGCCCATACGGACTGGGGAGTGAATGTTTTGTTTTGAAGCTCTAACAATGTTTATATACTGCATTAAAGTCTTTAATTCCTTTATAGTCTCAATATCTTCATGATATGGGCCCTTTAATCATTTATAATTTGCCAGTTTGGAGATACAACAAACCCAGGGATTTACTGCAAGCTCCATACCGTTAATGGAGAAAAGAGATTATAGCAAGGGTGATAATTCTACCAATATGCAAGCACAACTCAGGATACATCATCCAGCAAAGTCTGCTAAACTGGTTCTGGTCCACAAGGTCTGTCAAATGAACTGACTGGCAAAGTCAACAAACTGGAAGACACAGAGACCTTTTTCCATTTTATTTTAATCTGCTTGCAGCCCAATAATTTCCCAAGTGGCGTTCAAATCACGTATATGTGTAGTTAATTAGTTAACGTCCTGTTTGGATAGCCTATCATTAATTTTTAGCACTTTAAATGCCAGCTGTCCTTTACATCATGCGTAAATTTCAAGATAAATGGACCAAAAATGGTACAAAATGACACAGAATGTAACGTCTTAATGTAAATTAAAAGTAAAGAATGTTTTTCCTTCTCATTTAAAGTTACTATTTTGGATATGTTGGTAAAAATGTTTCATTCAAAACATTCTACTGTATTTTCTTATTACCCTGATAAATTGATGCAAAATAAATAAATAAATAAATAAATAAATAAAAAGAAAGATGCATGAGAGGAATGAGCACCCCGACCCCACCCACTACCTGATACACTTATGACTATGTATTTTTGGTGTCACAGCTTAGTTTATGGGTGTGCAGGGACTACAGATGTGTGACAGGCTGCTTGGACGTGTACAATACGGGTAGAACAGTACCTGGCTGGCAGTTTGTAGATGTAGCTACAGCCGTCCTCGGTCCAAATAATAACTTTATCAGCAGCAATAAACTCCCCTCCAGTCCAGGCTTGGTCATTCTCACTGGGCACGGAGCACAGGAGCGAGAAATCCCCCGCATCAAACACCTGCAACACAGACTCTTAAATATCAGTTCAGAGAGACATATTTACACAAACAGTCCAACAGGAACAATAACCATTTGTCTAAACGAACATTATTATCAGATGAATTATGGTGTTAAATGCTGTAATCTTGATTACAGAGTTACCTCACCCTACAGCTTCCATTTTCCACAAAGGCAATATAATTATGTGGTTAATATGCAATATGTAATTACTGAGTTTCTAATATTACTTAAATGGCTCTTATTCTTGTTCATTTGTGTCCACTTATAATGTTTTTGTGGTTTTACACACCAAAAACAGACATAATTTCATTCATTTTTAGCGAACAGATTTATACAGGCTGGTTGCTTCCAAACAAAGGCAGGGAAACACTGGAAGCTCTGTTAGTGCGGATAATAGACTATGGCCAGGGTGGTAATACTACTAACATGCAAGCACGTCTCCGGATACATCATCCAGCACAGTGTGCTAAACTGGGTCTGGTCCGTAGGGTCTGTCAGCTGGCAAAGTCAACAAACTGAAAGTCTTTTTCCCATTTTATTTTAATCTGCTTGTACTCCCAAGCTTTTTGCCAGACTTGTGTGTGTGTAGTTAATGAGTTGATGTTCGGTTTGTATAGCCTATCATTAATTCCAGTCCTTTCTACTGTATCAAGAATTAGAGAAGGGTTAAATTGCTGTGGTTGCTTTGATAAAACAAAACAAAATCACAAGCCAAGTGGAAGGGTGATTATTTGCATAATACTGGCACTTATTAAAATTAATCTACTGTTTAGTAATGTCAATTAATTCCAAAGGGTCCTTCTGACGGGCACAAAGTCATCTGCACACACCAGCCCACAGACAAACAGACAGACAGACACACACTTACCCTCCAGTATTTGGAGCAGACGACAAGGAGGGAGAGCTGAGTGAAGGTGCAGAAGGAGATGCTCTGGCAGCCCTGACAGTAGATCGGCTTAGACTCCTCCTCAAACACGGGGTCCATATCCTGACAGAACACGGACGTTCTATTCGTTATGCTGTCTAATGTAACAGCGCTGTCGAAACAGCGAAGTTTGCAAACAACCGGCACCAATCAACACCGCAGTGGATCACACCGCCTGCCTCCCAGCTCCAGCGAGGTTACGAAAGGTGTGCAACAACATAATTACAAACATCATTTTTCCTCATTTTTCTAAATTTCTGAATTGTGTTCAAAATATCACGTTCACGATAAATTGTGAACCCATATCATTATAGATCATATCCAGTATCGAATCGAGCTATATTATATTTACATTATATTACACACACACACACACACACACACACACACAGAACATTATATGGTAATGCATGAAGTGTGAATGCTCTTCTAAACAATACATATATAAAAATGCACATTGCTATCTAGATACATACATGAATGGATAGCAATATGCATTTCTTTACACACATTTAAATTGTATTAGCATAAATTAGCATTTACACATTATTTAGCAATGCATTATATATATATATATATATATATATACACACACATACACACACACACACACACACACACACACACACACATATATATAATGTACATATATATACACAATTCACATTCATATATTAATATTTATTACTCACTATTAACTATAACTATAAATTAACTATTTATGTAATATACATTCACATATAGCACTATAATATTAGTATGTGTATATATAATGTGCATTCATACTTTACATCAGAGGTCTTCAAATCTGGACCTTAAATCCAGTTTCCAGTCCTGTATCCTGTAGATGGAGCTGATTGGCCACCTTGGGCTGTATCTACCAGTGTCTGCAAAATCCAGGACTGGAAACTGGATTCAAGGTCCTCTACTTTATATGATCATGGATGACATCGAGTCGTGTTGGGTCTGGGTCTGTACCTGCATTCTGCTCACTTCCGCTGTGATGATCCACACTTTCAGAATTCCAGTGACTGAAACTGCTACCACTGTGTCTTCTGCAACACAAGCCGGAGAAAATGATTCATTTAAGAAAAGCACTTAAACAAAAAGATAAATCAAAACTAAAATCTGGTGACTGAGCGCTTTAGAGGGTTTGAGGAGATGGGCTTGGGCACCTTGGGTGCGATGAGAGCGGATGATGCTCATGGAGCTGATCCAGTCAGGAGATATCTTGGACACCAGCGAGTAAAGAACCTCCAGGCTGGTGGCGTCCACCACCAGGATCTCTGGGTAATGGCCGTTACACAGGAGACGGCCCTCACGCTGTGTCCCGATTGTAAACTGGTAAAACTGCAGAGGGAATGAGAGATGAAAAAACAGAGAAAGGCAGAAAGGTAAGAGGATGGCTGGGAGGGTCGAGAAGGTTATATATATCTGATATATGTGGTATCTGTGGTGCCAGTATAGTACAGCGAGGTCATTTTTTGCACTACACTGGAAGATAATTCCTTAAAACAAGCGAAATCATCTGCCAATATAAAATCGCTTAAAACAAAGACAAAATGGCTAGGTTAAATAATATTATAAGCTAAAAACAATCCCCAAATCAGAAATATAAGGTATATTGACTAGGCTAAAGATGCAGTATAGCATTCTCAGTTAGGGTTGAAGTGTAGTTTATTCAGAAGTAGTGATGTATAGCAATCCCAGCATAGCGCACTCAGCAGCAGGGTCATATAGAGAGCTCAGTAAAGGTGTAATATAGTGTATTCTGAAGCAGGGTAGTACAGAGAGCTCAGTAACAGTGTAAGATATGCTACGTTCACACAGCAGATAAAAGTGGCCCAAATCAGATTTTCGCACCAAATCCGATTCTTTTGTTTGGCTGCTCACAATGTGATCTGTATGCAACATCAGTCTGAACAGATCAGCTCCTAAACTGAGCCGCATGAGCAAAAGATCAGAGCTTCACGGCTCATACAGAGCTAAACAATCACGACTGCCAACGAACGCCAGTCGCTCCCGGAGGATCAGCTTCATCTTCACCAGCATCACAGGAGCCATCATGAAGCTTCACTGACTGACAGCTGGGCTCATCACCCAGAATGTGTTCGAGCAGTAAAAAGGGCGCGGTCACTTCTTTGGTCCTCGGATTCTTTAAACTTTGCTTTCGGACTTTTCCTTAATGCTGCAGCCTCGTTTTACCGTTTCTTTCAAAATCTCTTCAAACGCGGGGTGTTTTGGATACATCCTTTCTAATGTTCTGCACAGAAACATCACCCCAAAGGTTTATGAGGTCTCAGCAACACAAAATGATGATGAATGACAAGCTTAACGCAAAAGTCGCATGAATTCTGATCTGGCTGTTCAGGCTGAGCCGCATTGCCACAGATCAGATACGTATCGGATTTCAGTACCACATATGAAAACGTCTCTGAACATGTCAGATTCAGTGTGTTTATCTGTTCACACTGACACACAGACACACATCTGTGTCACATATGAAGAAAAAGATCAGATTTGGGCCACTTTTACCTGCTGTGTGAACAAAGCCACAGCATACTCCGTAAAGGTCAGTGCACAGCGGATGGACGTCGCGCCATGCAGCGCCCAAAAATTTTAATCCACTGTTTAAATGAAGGTACACACACCGGCGTCAACATACTCGGTTGACATATTGGTCAGTTTCTCATTTTTCCATTACTTTGCTAACTTGAAGCCATAAGTAGAGCAGAGAAAGCCACAATGGATCACATGAGGCTTGAAATTTACACAAAGAAAGGCAGTCAGTCTTCAAGATAAACAGAAAAACACCAAAGGTCTGTTACTCAGCTAACATTTCTACCTCACTCTCAGAAATGATGGTTCTTAGAAAAGGGTTCTCTGCATCAGAATGTGCTGTAGATGAAAAGGGTTCTTCTATAGTTATGATGTTCAGCTTGTAATAATAGAAGAACCCTTTCTGGTGCTATATAGAACACTGTTCAAAAAATAGGGTGCTATATAGAATCATCTACAGCACATTCTCCAATCTGAAGCAATCTTTCACAATGCAAGCAACCTTTTAATCAGGCAGAGGGTTCTTTGAGTGTTCATGGTTCTATACAGAACTGTTTTCTTTACTAAAGAACCCTTAAAGAACTCTTAAAGAACTATCTTTAAGTGTGTAGTCCTTTTTTTCCCCCTTTTAGTGCGTCCAGTGTGCAGCAGCCTTAACAGTGTAGCTCATAACTGTAGTATAGTATGTTTAAGCAATAGAACACAGAGGGAGTGTGTTATCGCGAAATAACATCACCGCTGTGATTCGGTCGCCGTAGATCATCACAGCCGTGATGTTATTCATGATAACACACTCCTCGAGTGTTCTATTGCTTTAATACAACAGTTAAATAAATAAAGTAATAAATTAATAAACTGGGCCGTGAACGCGGCGTTTAATATGTTTTAATGTTCGCAGTTCCTTCACCAAATTATAGTTCCTTAATGAGCAGCTTGTTGCTACGTCAGAGTAACGAACTCCGCCCACTCGCTGCTCAGTCTGCTGTAAACCTCGCCTTTCGAAGTACAGACTGAGCCATAAAACTGCCGCAATATCAAGTTTAGCTCAGTTTTGTCAGTTTTTGCCAGATCAGTATTAATGTTGTTTTGTTCCAGCCAGTCTGTAAAGCATCTTACAGCCCATTTAGTTTGGCGAATGGTGTTGGGTTCATTTCTGGCTGATTCCAGGTTGTTTAGCTGTTCTTCTGTCACAGCTGCCGACTGAAAAGCTGCTCAGTGGTGATGACAGTTTGGGAATTTAGTGTGGTCTCATCTTCAGAGTCTGACCAAATCGGCCGTCGGTCAAATGGGATCTTAAAAGTATCCATTTCCTGTTTGTGGCAAAGTAAGAAGTAAAAGCGTTCAAATGGCTCGAGCGTCTCCTACAGCTGTCAAAGTCGTTGCTTAGTGTTTGTGAAAAAACCCATGATGTTGTGGCGAAATAATATCATGGTTAGAACGCTCCTCAACCAATCAGCTTGCGTGGCCGGAACTAACTGTTGTATAAAGTACTACAGTACTATAGTAGTGTAATATGTTTTATAATGATCTCAGTCATGGCGTAGTAGTGTACTTAGTCACAGTGCAGTGTAGTGAGCTCTGTAACCGTGTAGTACAGTGAACTCAGAGGCAGTGCAGTATAATGAACTAGAGCAGAGCAGTGTAGGAAGGAGGCAGTGCTGTGGGAGTGTTACCTGTATTCCAGTGTGGGCACAGGCCAGCTTAGTGAACTCAATACAGCGGCCATCGTTCACATCCCACAGACACATCTCTCTACAGAGAAAAATACATTACACAACATTATACAATGACTGAACACACAGCCATACAGAGAGAATCATTATACACACACACACACACACACACACACACACACACACACACACACACACACACACACAGCACTGTATAAAGCCAGAGACGACCCTTCATTCATTTAGATCAGGGGTGTCAAAGGGCCGTGTTAAAAATCTCAACTAATCTGTGGGCCAGAGAACAGCTATGCTTTTATTTCATTTATAATTAACATTTTGATACGACCCAAACTGGCCATTCTTTATTCAAAATATGGCAAACAAATATAGGAACTTGTAGCAGACAAAAACAATTGTTTATGTAAAACAATAAGTTACATTAGCTACAGATAACCGTTAAACCTCTTTAAATGTAGCCAGGAGGTAGGTTTTTTAAACCTGCCTATTTGCTTGAACTAGACTCCTGCCATCTTTCGCTTTTTGTGGTGTAACCTGGCCCATACGTTGTCCTTTGGCGAGTGGTGTCAGAACACACATTACGTAGCAGTGCATGCTGGGGGTCGTAGTGTAGCTCATCGTGAAATGAGCTAATATTAATATAAAATTAAAATAATTTCATGGGCCGAACAGGATTGTGCCACAGGTCTGACTTGGCCCGCGGGCCTTGTTTAACACATGGGATTTAGGTTCCAACCAAGTTATTTATTTTTAACAGCAGAAAGAGAGTAGAGGACATATATTTAACAGAAAATTACTCAGAAGCCTAAACAAATAAAATTATATCAAATATTTTCAGATTTAGTGTGTCCCTCCTTTGCCTTATTACACTTGTTTTTCAAAGAAATTATAATTATATATAGCTAAAAAGTTGGTTACATTTTCTGCCTCTCACCATCCAAGTAATCACAACTTAATTGATAGTCTGGACTCTGGTGCGATCAGTCTACTGTTCTGAGAACGCCAGCAGTTTCTTTGTTTGATGTGTCCGTCTCCTTTTCTCAGTGAGGTTCTTCTTGACAGCTACACATCCTTTCAGACCCACAGCGCTGAGTCGTCTTCTCACAGTGGAAGGATGGACAGAAACACCTGTGGATGTTTTCAGATCTGAAGCAGCTTGATTTTCTCCTCTCTCTCAGAGATGAAAGCTTTAAGTGCTGTTTATCTGATGGGGGCAGTTTTGGGGTCGACCAGCTCTTCCAGGTGGTTGTTAGGAGACACATTTTCTCTGTAGCTTTTAATCAGTTTTTTAACTCCAGTTTTGGAAACTCTGTTTTTTTTCCACTTAATTTTCTTTGACATTTTCCTTGCGCTAGTGGATTGTCTTCTATCTAATTCGCCTCCTGAAAAATGAATTACTTGTACTTAAATCGAAATTAAGTAAATGCAGGGTGGTCTCTGACTTTAGGGTGGACTTTCTGAAACTAAAACTTTAAACACACACAGCTCTCTGTGGGAATAAATGAATTGCACACAACTCCTTACACTGTTAAATCATTATATAAAACTACTGCTGTAAAAAACACCACATATCATTCAGGAACATCTTTCTTTACACAGAGATTCATCCACACTCATACAGACTCAAACTGCCTCTCACTCAGTCTGTACCCACCCGCTCTCTGACGCGCTGACCATGTACTGTTTGTCACTGCTTGCACTGGCCTTGGACAGACAGGTGATGGAGGCGGTGTGTCCGAACAGCAGAGCCCGTGGGTTAATCTGCACAGACAGGGAACAGACAGACCTACCCTTACTAACTACAGCAAACTGAGAGGTGCAGAAGTGAACTGAACAACATTCAAAGACTGAATGATGAAATACCATTTTCAGAACAAAGGACTTTTAGTAGATGAAGGAACACGAAAAACAGAGAAGTGAAGATGAAAAAGTAAACAAAAAGAAACAAAAAGAGAAGAGAAAAAAACAGAGTAGAAGCTGAAAAAACAAGAAAACAAGCTGAAAAGAAAAGCGAAAAGAAGCTGAAAAGAGCAAGAGGAAGAACAGAAGAGGAAATGAATAGAGAAGAAAAGTACAGAAGAGAAAATAAGAAGAGAATGTAGGGAGAAAAGAAGAGAATAGAAGAGCAAAAGGAAGAAAAGGAGAGGAGAGAAGCTGAGAGGAGCAAGAAGAGGAGAAGAGAAGCTGAGAGGAGCAAGAAGAGGAGAAGAGAAGCTGAGAGGAGCTAGAAGAGGAGAAGAGAAGCTGAGAGGAGCTAGAAGAGGAGAAGAGAAGAGAATGTAGGGGAGAAAAGAAGAGAATAGAAGAAAAGAGCAAAAGAAAGACAAGGAGAGGAGAGAAGCGGAGAAGTTGAGAAGGGGAGAAGCTGAGAAGAGGAGAAGAGAAGCTGAGAAGAGAAGAGGATAGGAGAGGACAGGAGAGAAGAGAGAGAAAAGAGGAGAGAAGAAGAGAAAAGAGGAGACAAGGGAAGAGAAAAAGAGAGGAGAGGAAAGGAGAGACGAGAAGCTGAGAAGAGAAGAGAAAAAGAATAATTAAGAGAAGAGAAGAGAACAGAAAAAGAATAGATGAGAGGAGAGAAGGGAAGAGAAAAGGAGAGGAGAGAAGAGGAAAAAAAATAGAGGAGAGGAGAGATCTGTTCACCTCGAGGTCAGGGGTCAGGTCCCAGATGCAGATCTGACCATCGTGGCAGCCGCTGATGATGGTGGCCAGGTCGTCCATCACCAGCAGGCTGGAGATGCAGTGTGTGGGTGCATTGCGGCCCCACAGCACTATGGGTAATACCAGACTGTTTCCAGACATGTTTTCTCTCGAACTGCGACAGAGAGAAAGAAAACAACAGTAAACAGGCTGGAGGGTCAGTTTATAACACCTATATGAACTCCAGCGCTGCTCCACAGATGGAAACTAAGCTGCAAAAACAGCCCATTTTGAATTATTTGTGTTTCTGACGCCACAAAAACCAGCACATTTACATTTAGAGCCTATAGCCGTTTAGCCCCGCCCCTTCAGGCTGAAGTGAAATGGGGCATCGATCCACAGATCCACTGAGGGATTCTCAATAGAAGCCACTGATTTTCATTACCCAGAAGAGCAGAACAGATCATTCTTCCCAATTGTGCTGTAGACGGTTCTACGTAGAACCTTTTTGAAAAGGGTTCTATATAGCACCAAAAAGGGATCTGCTATTGTTACAATGTCAAGCTTGTAAGAACAGAACAACCCGTTTGGGTGCTATATAGAACCCTTTTCAAACAGGTACTATATTTAATCTGAAGAACCCTTTCAAGATGCAAAGAACCCTTAAATAATGCAAAGACTTCCTGGAGTGTTCATGGTTCTATACAGAACCATATAGGCCGCATTCACCATCAATCTGAAGAACCCTTTCAAGATGCAAAGAACTCTTAATTTTGATGCCACAAAAACCAGCACATTTACATTTAGAGCCTACAGCCGTTTAGCCCCGCCCCTTCAGGCTGAAGTTATAGGGAGTGTTTCTGACTGGCTTGCTTTTGGAACGAGGCACAACACAGCCCAGCCAATCAGAGCAGAAATTTCTGTTCTAGAGTCAGAATTGTTCACAGTGGTGGTGATAGGAACCAGACGTCCACCTCTAAAAGCTCCCTCACAGGAAGTTCCCACATGAAATGGTTATGAATTCACTGCCTGGCTGTATTTACTGTTAACACTAGTTTAACATGAGAAACCGTGTGACCTCACGAGCTAAAGAGATCTGAGATTCAGCAAAAGAGACATTGAGAGAGAGCACATCACCCCATCCACACCCCCATCGATGTAGAACTGTTTTCTTTACTAAAGAACCCTTAAAGAACCAGATAAAGCACATTCTCCATTAATGTGAAGAACCTTTTCACGATGCAAAGTACCCTTTAATCATGCACGCATCATCAAGGGTTCTTTGAGTGTTCATGGTTGTACGTAGAACTGTTTTCTTTACTAAAGAACCCTTAAAGAACCATCATTTTAAGAGTGTAGAAGGGTGTAATAAAAGCCCGGCAGGCCCTGAGCTGTGGTTAATTTATCCTACAGCTCTCTCTCACAGTTAGAACCAGAGCCTGAAGAACATACTTGTTTACATTTTTTAATTCATGGATGGGGGTGTGGATCTGGCATCCATCCACAGATCCACTGAGGGATTCTGACTAAAAGCCACTGATTTTCATTACCCAGAAGAGCAGAATAGATCTGTACAATCAGTCAGTCAGTCAGTCAGCAGAGCGAAAACAGCCAGGCATGCACCGTCAATACCTCCCGCACCCACCCCCGCCTGCTCAACGTGACAGAGCCAAAATTAAAACGTCACTTTTCATTCTCTCACTAATCCGGAACAGTGCGGAGGGACAGCATGATGCTAATGTGTAAGATAATACACTTCACCACAATATGGATATGAACGAGGCAGGAATACACCAACCTGAAAACATTCCAACATATCCTGAGTGTGGAAACAGCAAATAAACACTTCCTGTGCGCTTCTTCTACCAGGATTACTCTGTAACACAGTCACTGTACAGTACAGAGTTTATTTGTGGTGCCATCTCACTCAGGCCGTCACAATCACTCACTTAAAAACGAATGAATTAAAATTCGAATGAATTAAAATTCAGTCCACCTTTCTGACGCCACAAAAACCAGCACATTTACATTTAGAGCCTATAGCCGTTTAGCCCCGCCCCTTCAGGCTGAAGTGAAATGGGGCATCGATCCACAGATCCACTGAGGGATTCTCAATAGAAGCCACTGATTTTCATTACCCAGAAGAGCAGAACAGATCATCATGAAAAGGTTCTTCCCAATTGTGCTGTAGACGGTTCTACGTAGAACCTTTTTGAAAAGGGTTCTATATAGCACCAAAAAGGGTTCTGCTATTGTTACAATGTGAAGCTTGTAAGAACAGAAGAACCTGTTTGCGTGCTATATAGAACCCTTTCCAAACAGGTACTATATAGAACCATATACAGCACATTCTCCATCAATCTGAAGAACCCTTTCAAGATGCAAAGAACCCTTAAATAATGCAAAAACGAATGAATTAAAATTCGCCTTTTCAGTACGTCTGAAATGATGAGCAGCTTTGAACAATGACGCATATTTTAACCCCTTAAAATCTCAGACTTATTAATCAGAAACTACAGAGACTTCAGTGCAAACGGGTTGAGCTGTTCTTAGGTTATACACTCTTAAACAACATGGTCCTTTAAGGGTTCTTTAGTAAAGAAAACGGTTCTATATAGAACCATGAACGCTCATGCGTGATTAAAGGTTTCCGATTGTGCTGTAGACAGTTCTATAAAGGGTTCTATATAGCACCAAAAAGGGTTCTGCTGTTGTTGCAATGTGAAGCTTGTAAGAATAGAAGAACCTGTTTGCGTGCTATATAGAACCCTTTTCAAACAGGTACTATATAGAACCATATACAGCACATTCTCCATCAATCTGAAGAACGCTTTCAAGATGCAAAGAACTCTTAATTATTTGTTTTTTTTTTTTTGATGCCACAAAAACCAGCACATTTATATTTAGAGCCTACAGCCGTTTAGCCCCGCCCCTTCAGGCTGAAGTTATAGGGAGTGTTTCTGATTGGTTTGCTTTTGGAATGAGGCACAACACAGGCCAGCCAATCAGAGCAGAAATGCTCTGTTCTAGAGTCAGAACTGTTGTCAGTGGTGGTGATAGGAACCAGACGTCCACCTCTAAGGAGTTCTATACAGAACCATATAAAGCACATTCTCCATTAATGTGAAGAACCTTTTCATGATGTAAAGCACCCTTTAATCATGCACGCATCATCAAGGGTTCTTTGAATGTTCATGGTTGTACGTTAGACTGTTTTCTTTACTAAAGAACCCTTAAAGAACCATCATTTTAAGAGTGCAGAAGGGTGTAATAAAAGCCCGGCAGGCCCGGAGCTGTGGTTAATTTATCCTACAGCTCTCTCTCACGGTTAGAACCAGAACCTGAAGAACATACTTGTTTACATTGTACTTTTTTTTAATTCACGTTCTGTCTTCAAGTATTTATTTCATAAATGGATGTTATTGTTCAGATAAAAGGCCTATATCATGATTGATTTTTCTCACTTTTTAAATGTGTTCCTGATGTCCGAGACACTGTTTCATGATAGTTGTCAGAAGATTTTGGCATAAAACACATTTAAGAAACAAAGTTGATGCGTTTTCTGACAAACAAGACAAACCTATAGAATTACCTCAATAACAAAGGAATGTAGCCATATTAAATAACAGTTTGGTTACGTAAGATATTGACAACGGGGGGTTGGGGGCGACTACATGTACTATTGAACCAGTTTCAAACAGTGTGTTCCAATAAAACCTTACACAACAACTCCAACACATTTTAATATCACACCAGTATTTCTGTGTAAATACTACACAGACCCATCACTCACATCACAGTACTGAGGCCACACGACTCCCTTTACAAACAATAACACATACATTTATACATAAACGATCACATCATGGGCCTCACGTCTATATTACCGTTACTATTAAACACACCACACACAAAACCTTCACACTACATACTGCCCTGCAGCACTGTAATAATAATAATAATAATAATAATAATAATAAGAAGAAGAAGAAGAAGAAGAAGAAGAATGATAATAATAATAGTAATAACAATAACAATAACAACAACAACAACAACAAGAAAGGGAAAGTTTGTGAACAAACTATGTTGGCTTGAAAAAGCCAGCTAAATGCGTTCATGCATAAAAGGTGGAAGACTGCTGACGTTTGTTAAAGGTGTTAAAATGTGTTGAACCTTAAATGAAGCTCCACCTTAATTTTATTGCCATTTTAATTCATGTTCCACCTTAAACTCCGTGCCACCTTAATTTTATTGCTACCTGACAGAGAGTTCCACCTTAAATCCTACGCCACCTTAAATTGAAATGCTATGTTAATTGAAGTTACACCTTAAATTCAGTGCAAACTTAAATGCAGTTTCACCTTTAATTCTGTGCCACATTAAATGTAGTGCTATGGTAATTAACGTTCCAGCTTAAACTGAATGCTATGCACACACTGCGGGTATCAATACAACAGTTGCATGCATGATTTTCGTAGTAGAAATACTAAGTTAACACATCCTCTAGTTAGAACTCACTTCTGTACATTTTAGTGCACAATTTCTATCATTTAACTTTAACATATGTTTAAGATATGGGGGGAAAAACATTATATTATATTATATATATATATATATATATACATAAATAAAATGCACCATAACTTTTGCACAGGACACATTTAATGCGCCCCCCCCCCCACAGAGTACAGTGTGTTCTCTGTACAGTGTGTTCTCTGTACTCTGTAGGGGTGCCGAAATGTATTCACGCTGATCTTAACAGAAACAGGAGGACCAGTCAAACACAACAGAACATTAAGGAGCATTTGGGTCCCAAAACTGGAAAAATACAGGGGTCGGCCACACCAGCTAGAACTGTCAGCTGCAGTTAGTCAGTTACTGATACAAAAGTTATTACAGCCATAATAAATTCTCATCAGTTTCAGTTTGTATTTTGTTTTCCAACCTCAACAGTCTTGGGTTTTATTTTCTGGAAAAGTTTTACTTTTATTCAGCGTCCGCTTTAATTCTGTTTTTTTAGTATTATGGCTGAACACAAAAGTAAGAAGATAATCAACTCTGCTCTGACGTCATTACCTCATGGTGAGTTCTGCCATTTTAGCAGTGCTACATTAGCACAGCAGTAGCTCAGCTAGGTTGTGAGCTCTAGTCTATGGCTTCTCTGTGTGCTGGGTGTTTAAAGTTTGACACAGATCTGGGCAATATGACAGTTTATCATCATCATCATGATAAATTACATCACAACATGTCTCTCTGAGCATAACGCGGATATTGTCAGTGCTCAAACACTTCCCAACTGCATGTTCGACTACAAAGAGAGCAAAATTTACTTTAACTGTTTAATTTGATTTAGTGCAGAACCGTGTGTGAAATGTTAAATACAGATCATTAGATTCTTAGTTTTTGACAGTATTTTAAATCAAATACCAGAAAAAAAACACACACCGATCAGGCGTAACATCATGACCACCTCCTTGTTTCTACGCTCATTGTCCATTTTATCAGCTGCACTTACTATATAGGTGCACTTTGTAGTTCTACAGTTACAGACTGTAGTCCATCTGTTTCTCTGATACTTTGTTAGCCCCCTTTTACACTGTTCTTCAGTGGTCAGGACCCCCATGGCCCCTCACAGAGCAGGTACTATTTGGGTGGTGGGTCATTCTCAGCACTGCAGTAACACTGACATGGTGGTGGTGTGTTAGTGTGTGTTGCGCTGGTCTGAGTGGATCAGACACAGCAGTGCAGCTGGAGTTTTTAAACACCTCAGTGTCACTGCTGGACTGAGAATAGTCCACCAACCAAAAATATCCGGCCAACAGCGTCCTGTGGGCAGCGTCCTGTGACCACTGATGAAGGACTAGAGGATGACCAACACAAACTGTGCAGCAGCAGATGAGCTATCGTAGTACTAACTCTTTTTGGTGCTACATAGTACCATTTTCAAAAAAGTTCCATATGGAACCATCTACAGCACGTTCTCCATCAATCTGAAGAACCATTTCACCATGCAAAGAACTCTTAAATCATGCAAAGGGTTCTCTGAGTGCACATAGTTTGACATAGAACCATTTTCTGGACTACAGAACCTTTAAAGAACCTTTTTTAGGTGTAGGATATCATTTAAACCGCAGCTCTTGCGATTTCAGTTACAGAAAAGCGATTAATCGTTTAGTCTCTATCCGTAAGCACGTGTGTGTAACCCACACAGACCCAGAACCACGAGGAGGAACAGAGCAAGAGAACATTTACCTCACAAGTTTGTGCCGTTTCATGGAAAACCTGACTCTCCGAAACATCGCTTTGATCCTCACTAAAGGAGTCAGCCTCATCCTGACTTTAGAGTTCTCCATTCTGGACGCAGCCGTGAAAATGACGCGTTTTTTCCTGCACTAAAAGTGGCGCGGCTCTCAGACGTGTCTGTCACCAGCACAGTGACGAACTACTGAACACGACTATAGGAGAGACTATCTGTGTGCTGCCCAACTAATCAATGAAAACAGTCCACAACAGACAGAGGGCAGCGTGAGGGACAGGAAGTCCAGCACAGCTGATTGAGTCAGAGTCTAGATTAAGCAGTGTTTGATTGGGTTTTATGACGGTGCTCTGAAAAGACCACTCAGAAAGACTCCTGCTGACCCTCAGGATCCTGATAGGGATGTGCACGGGTACTCAAGTACTCGGTTGACCGTTCAAGGTGTCAGTATTCGGACACTGAAATCGATATTCGAGTATTCGTTAAGTGTCATCACAGGATCAGAGAGATAATAAACAGGTTAACAAAATCAGGAAGACACCGGTTTTATGTTTTTAACAGGACTATAAAATCAGAAAATCAGATTTGGTCAGTGCCAAGTGCACTGGGGTAATCAGATAATGGAAAACTCCAGGTCTACATGAGTCAGATAATCAGATTTCTGCTTCGCAACCAGCCAGTAAACTCACAGAATAAGTAAAGGTAAGGTTAAACTTAAACGTCATGCCACAGCTTAATTATTCATTCATTCATTTATTTATTTATTCATTTATTTATTTAAAACATCAAGTTTAAATACTACATAATGAGGAAACTGTTCTAAATTGGTTCCGAATGGTCTAAAGTAATGAAATCAGCCTTGGATGAAGATCCAACATTACCAATCTGAATTTTTTGATGACCCATAATTTCTATACATTTATTTACAATCAAATTTTCTATAGTTGTGTTAAAAACCAGTTTCATGTGACCAAAAACTAATTTTATATGATAAATTAAAGGGCCCATATCCTACATTTATCTTTGTACACTTCACTTTTTAGGTTTTGGGTTTCAAAAACTGAATCATTCATAATTAACTTTGAAGTGGAAATTCGAACCTTCATCCCTTAGAATTAGGCTGATTTTGTCACCTCTGTTCTGATTGGCTGTCCTGTATTCTGCTTAAATCAAAAGGCACTCCAGGCAGAAACACTCCTCTTAATATCAGGGTCAATGGTTGTTGTGACATCACAAACAGTGAACTGTATGTAGCGGGAAGTGAACATTACGTTTTGAAATTTTAAACGTGTTTACATACAAAAATCGACGATATGGGCCCTTTAAGAGATAAACATTCACCTTTCCGCCACCTGGTTTAAAGCATTTCTGCACAGTTGTGCTCGTTCAGCATTCGAACCAACACACATGAACACTAATAGGTTAACAAAGCAGTATTTTAAGACAACAGCTGGCAAAGGAGAAGCTTGTGGAGTCCAGCACTGAACTACACAGATCAGGGACATATAAACTTTCCCAAAGGGAAGTGAGCACTAAGCTTGGTCAATCAACAGAGCTGCCCTATACATGACCCTCCACTCTCCAACACAGAGCACGTGCTCCTAAAGAACAAGCTGCTCATGAGTCAGGTGAGTTAGAGCACACACTCAAAAATGATGGTTCTTCAGTAAAGAAAATGGTTCTATATAGAAGCATGAACACTCAAAGAACCCTCTGCATGATTAAAGGGTTCTTTACATGGTGAGACTGATGGAGAATGTGTTGTAGATCAGGGGTGTCAAACCTCTAAAAGGGACACATTTAAAAGTCTCAAATCTGTCGCCAGAGAAAAAAAATGTTTTTAATTTCATTTTTAATTAAATGTCGTGCTGGAACCCGAACTGGACGTTGTTTATTAAAAATATGCAAAAACTTCAACACTTGATACACTCAAAATTTAAATGCCCCCAGGTGCTCAGTCCTTTAAACCTACCTATCTGCTTTAACTAGACTCCTGGCCTCCTTTATTTGCGTTCATTCAGACCTTGGCTCAGTTTCTGAGCTGCTGAACTGATATTCAGTGTTTATGATGGCTGAACTGCAGCTGAAATGCATTTTGGTGACCTGACTGGTGTGGAATTGAGGTGTAACCGCTGTCCCATAGACTGTTGTTGGGGTAGGAGAGTCGGATCACATTACGTTGCAGTGCATGCTGGGAACTGTAGTGCAGCACATTGTGAAACGTGCTAATAATAATAATAATAGAAAATTAAAATACTTACACGGGCCGGATAGGATTGTGTGGTGGGCCTGATTTGGCCCGCGGGCCTTGTGTTTGACACATGGGCTTTAGATGGTTCTATAAATAACCTTTTCAAAAGGGCTCTATAAGCACCAAAGAGAGTTCTTCTATTGTTACAAGCTCAGCATCATAACTATAGAAGAACCCTTTAATCATGCAAAGGGTTCTTTGAGTGTTCATGGTTGCATTTACACACCGATCAGGCATAACATTATGACCACCTCCTTGTTTCTACGCTCGCTGTCCATTTTATCAGCTCCACTTACTATATAGGTGCTCAGATCTGAGTCGCATTAGGGCAAAAAATCAGATTTGTGCCACTTCAACCTGGCAATGTGAACACAGCCTATCATATGTGGTCCTAGATCGGATATGTGTCTGATTCGTGGCCATGTCAGGCTCAGATCGGAATTCATGTGCTTTTTTTCCCTCGTTAGTTTGTTTACTGATGATTCACGTGACGTTACTGAGTAGGACGTGCTCATGCGGGTCATTTCAGGACGCCGGTTCGTCACATTAATGCCAGATTTGAGTCACTTACCTAAACGAGTGTGAACCATCGCGTCAGAGAGATCGGATTTGAGCAAAAAATGAGGCTTGCAATGTGAACGTAGCCTAAACGTTAATATCCAAATCACTTTGACCCAGAAGGTCCCCAGTCTGCCCTCCCTAGGGGGCAGTGGTCTCCAACCCTGGTCTTGGAGAACCACCTTGCAGCAGAAATTAGTTCCAACCTGTATCCAATAAGCTGCCCCACCCCTTAACCCTAATACATCTAAACCAGCCAATCAGGGGCTTGGGAAGAGGCTAATTAGCTGGAGCAGGTGTGGCAAATTGCGGTAGGCTCAGCCAGACCAGAGCTGGAGACCCCTGCCCTAGGGTACACTGGGTGTGCCTATTGTGGTGCATTGTGGGATAGTCTGCACTGTGTTTTCAGACACCACTACAAAAAGGCAGAACCCCAAAATAGTGCACTATATAGTGAATAGTGCACAGTTTCGGACACTGCTTTTGTTCCTCTTGTCCACTGCAGCCCTCAGGCCCTATATAAATACATTTTGGCTTGACATTTACTTACAAGGCAAACTTAAATCACATTTGATACCGTAATACTACTGGGAAAATATCGCGATACTGAGTTTGACCGATATCGCCCAGCACTAGCGCTACAGGGAATAAAGCCACTCTGCACCTGGTTAAAGCCAGAAAGAGCCTGAGAAAACCACCAACACTGCCACAGCCGCTCGTTCAGACTTAAAGGAATGTAAACTGTGTTTAAATGAAGGTTTAGAGCGCAGCTGAGTGATTTTAGTCCGTATTAAACTGATCTTAACCTGACACAGCACTGTTTTCATCACCATCACTAGCGCAGCGTCGCACCTTCCGGCCCGGTTTATCCACTCATTCTGGGTGTCTTACTGCGATTAAACGCGCTCTGGCGAGGCGAGTCTTACCGGTAAGGTCCTCTACAGCAGCATGTCCCTCCTGCGGGGCGGTTTAAGCGGAATTAGGGCAGAAATGTGCGGCAGTATTTGATGTTGTTCCCCTGTAAATTCGTCCTCAGACTGCAGTCAGCTGATCAGCGCAGCGCACTGACGTCACCGCGTAAGACGCCTGCCGTGCGCGTTCGGAACGGTGCTGCGACTAGCGGCCAGACAGGGTACTGCAGCTACGTCTGATTTCATTCATTGACTTCTTTCATTATTTGTTATATATATATATATATATATATATATATATGTGTGTGTGTGTGTGTGTGTGTATGTATTTTTTTCAGGAGAAAAGAAAAAAAATGCAGTGGGTTGAAGCAAAATCCAGTAAATTATCAAGAGAAAAACAGACTCGGCGAACGAGTCTGCATGAAAACAAACGAATACATTTAAAAACACGTTTATTTAGAATCACTTTCATTGTTTAAAATGTTTTAGAAACTGGTCGAGCTGTCAAAATTGAAGATTCAGCATGAATTGGTGAATTTCCAGGGTATATTTCTGTTACATTATACTTCATACTTAAACTATACCAGTGATGATGATGATAATGATGATGTACATTACTGTACATTTTATTAATATACATATAGCTCCACTTGCTATATAGGTGCACTTTGTAGTTCTACAGTTACAGACTGTAGTCCATCTGTTTCTCTGCATACTTTGTTAGCCCCCTTTTACCCTGTTCTTCAGTGGTCAGGACCCCCATGGACCCTCACAGAGCAGGTACTATTTGGGTGGTGGGTCATTCTCAGCACTGCAGTAACACTGACGTGGTGGTGGTGTGTTAGTGTGTGTTGCGCTGGTGCGAGTGGATCAGACACAGCAGTGCTGCTGGAGTTTTAGTAAGTGGAGCTGATAAAATGGACAATGAGCGTATAAACAAGGAGGTGGTCATAATGCTATGCCTGATCGTATATACATATATATACATATATATAGCTGCATTTTGAGAAGATGCCCAGCAGATGGCGCAATTACATGTCCACATTAAAACAGTTGATATATTTAAACTTGCAAAAATGTATATGCCTACAAATTAGGCACTAAAATGCATGTATATGCCTAGGATAGTGAGTAATCTTCATAAAATACTTTTAAAAAGTGTTATTGCACTGTATCAATGTATATCTGGATGTTTCCCAGCTTAAAAAAGGAGATCTAAGGGATTATTTATAGCCTTGAAAGACAAAATGTTATATTACTTTATAAGTCAGATGCATTAAAGCAAGTCTGGTTGGATATAAGCCAGTGGAAACAGTCTTGGTGAAAGAAAGGACTCAAGACAAGATTCATTGTAAATCAATCATAGTTCTGAAGGAAAAGAAGTTTATTCATGGTCACATAATAAAACAAAACCATGAAAAAAAAAGATGGTGTCTTATTTTGGAAAAGAAAATCAACTGAAATAACACAATTGAGAGCGTGTATGCTTAAACAGTCAAACCAGGACAACATAAAATCCAAAGCTAAAAAGAAACCAGCTGCTAACTCAGCGATGTTAACAATCAAACGTCGTTGAAGCGAGACATGACGGAGCTGAAACAGTGATACAGTGGTAAATGTACAGAGGATAAACTATACAAGCTTTTACACCATGCAGTCCTTCTGGAAACTATCAGGTTTGCTAGGTACAGTCAGTCAGCTGGTCTAAAGCCCAGGGTTAGTAAAACTGGTCCAGCATCTTAAACCACAGACTAGGCCTAAACTGAAGGAAACCGACCACTATTCACTGTGTCTGAGTGCAAATTCAGAGGCAAGAGGGTGTTTTCTCTCGTATAGACACCACATTACATACAGTTTATCTTACAGATCTGCAGGAAAGTGGAGTTAGTGGTTTATAAGCAATGGAGTTGCCCCCCCCCCCATATCATGTCTTTTGTTTGTATGGGGGGCCATACAGAAATCTGACATACAACACTGTCTATGTGCATATGTATCATAACAGGTCAGGTATTTCAAAATATCTGAACATATATGTTGTACATATATATATATATAAAGTGTCAAATACTGGACATATATGCAGATCATATGGATCATACATAAGTCTATATATAGACCTATATGTATGATCCATATACACACACATTCATATACATCCATATATGTACATCTGTGCTGTGTACATTCGGACACACACACACACACACACACACACACATACATATACATATATGTATATATATATATATATGTCCGAATGGTTTAACACATCCATATATGTACATACATGTTGTATATCACATTTTTAGACATATTTGCATAATGTTTATCATACATATATGTCTGAATGGTTTAAGACATCCTACTACAGTTGTTTGCATTTAAATATTAATCTTCTTAATTACTTTAACTGCATTAGGAAGTATGTGGAAGAAACAAAAAAGACTTATATAACATTAAGGTAGCATATATGAGTAATATACGCCATCAAAATGTATGGATGTTTCCTATGTTGTTACCTGTGTTATACCTGTGTGTTTGTATACGCTGATATATGGCTGAAATATGTTCCACATATAAACATATCCAGTTTTATATAAGCTGGCATGTCACATATATGTCCATATGGATCTAAGGGAAATCCATACATGCTAAAATGTCATATATGTGAAATCCATATATGGCCGTATATCAGATTCTCATATGGGGGAGGAGGGGGGGTTCACTGTGTTGCATCTCAGTCAGCAGTTTAGCATCAAGCGCTGTATTACAGGACACAGAGTGTATTTAAAAACACGCGTTATGACTGTAAAAGTTACGTGAGAGATAATAAAGTAAATAACTTATGTGCTCTAATGAACTGCAGTGTGATGGCAATGCCCCGTTAGCATCATGATAATATCCTTTTTCAGCAGGGGGGGATAGCAAGAGAGTGCTAATGGCAAAATTCAAAGTACTAGCATTTCTAAAACTCATCCAGGTGTAAACTGAGCGCTTTAGTGTGTTTTAAGGCCAGACGAAACAAATCTGGACTGTAGCTTTAAACGGATTCTTTCAGTTCACGAGCTCTCGTTTGGATTTAATCAACAGCCCAGACTCACAGGGTTAATAAAACTGGTCCAGCATCTTAAACCACAGACTAGGCCTAAACTGAAGGAAACTGACCACTATTCACTGTGTCTGAGTGCAAATTCAGAGGCAAGAGGGTGTTTTCTCTCGTATAGACACCACATTACATACAGTTTATCTTACAGATCTGCAGGAAAGTGGAGTTAGTGGTTTATAATTAGTGGTGTTTGATCAACAGGTTCATTTGAAATACGGCAGATGTGTTTGTCTGACTATCAAGTCTCCAAAAACTGACTTTTCACATTTATTAAAGTGATAAAGAAACGTGGCCGGAGCGAGAATCGCTTCACTCACACAGAATGGTTTAAAATGAACTGCAAAGCCGCTGATTAACTCAAGGACATTTAATAGTGTCACTAGAAAAATAAGAAGTCAAAGTGAAACAGAAAAAGGTCAGGAAGAAGATTAGGGTGCAGCATTTTTCATAAAACCAATGGTGACCATTTGTTAATTAAAATAATTAAAAGAAAGCATTACATATCATTCATATTCCACAGTTTAACTGGCTTTAAATAAAGGGGGGATAAAAGGTGTAAATATTAGTTACATATACTGCATACAAGACCTTCGACTACAGGCTAGCAAAGCTATGGAGGCTGAAACGAGGCACATTTCGAAACCAGCCCTCTTTGAAAAAGCGCCACCTTCGAAAGCTCATTCAGCGCTTCTAGTCCAATTCAAACACAAAGTTCGTCTAACCGGAGCTTCATCAGTGCCCTCGTGTCTGAAATGGGTTTAGTGTAGAACACGGTATCTTTGATACATGATCTTATACTGTATACGTTACTATGACTTCTGTAGATTTGTCACCTGTTTATAAAGGATGACAGAATTAAATGCATACGAACATGATTACTGGATAATTTAGCACCGTGCAGTTTTCAGCTTTCAGGTTTAAAGTCTTCAATTGCCACTAGTTTTTATTTTATTTTTTTTATTATTTTTTATTATTTTTATTTATTCATTTATTTTTTTGCATTCCATTTCTCTTTTTCTTTCCAAAGACACTTTGATAGAATCCCAATACATTCTAGTGGTTAATCAAGTTTAATCTTCTCTTATAAAAACAGGGAGACAAAATAAAAGTCTTTTGGAGTGTGGGCCGATGCATACATGCGTAATAAAGCCACACAACACGCTTTACCGGACATCATAATGCAGTCTCTCACCACACTAATAAGCAACTGTTGAAAACATAAATGCAATGATTATTATAATAAAAAAAAAATTGGCACAAACTACAGGTGAACACAACATAAGCCAACACACATTAAACACATATATATATATATATATATATATATATATATATATATATATATATATATATATATATATATATATATATATAGTGTGTGTGTCTGTGTGTCTGTGTGTGTATATATAAAAAAAAATTAAAATAAAAAAGGAAATCGAATGGATGCCGTGGAAGCCTAGGAGTGTTTCAGAGCTTTCTCTCTAGGTCTCCGACTTCTTTTTGTTCTTCTTAAGAAATGAAGGGGTGCGGAATTTCTTCTTTTTCTTGGAGGGGGATTTGTTGGGGGATTCGTCGCTGCCCTGGTCGCCCGCAGCGTCGTCGGCCGCAGCAGGCTCCTCCCCGTCAGGCTGCGTGGGCGGCTCGGTGTGAGCTGGGGCGGCTTCTTCTGCAGGCAAGGGGGCGGCGGCGGCGGCGGCTTCTGAGGGGTCATCGGGGGTGAGGTCAGGGAGGGTCTGTCTCAAAGTGGCGGCATCACTGTCGTCTTTAGGGCTTCGTTCCTGCTGCGCTTCTGCATGAGAGGATAGCAGGAGAGAGCGGGGAAGAAAGGTGGAGTGGGAAGAGAGGGTTTAGAGAAAGGATGCTAATTAATATTCTGCACAGGCCATGCAGGGATCAGGTTCAGAGAGCGCGACGCCCTTCAGCTCCAGCTTAGTCTCATAAAAACACTAGCAGCCTGACTTTTGTACACTGTATGTCCGAAAGTGTCCAGTATATACACTTTAAGGTGCAACCATTGCTAACTGTGCACAGAT